CATCGAAATTATCAGTCGATCCACCACTGAGGTAAGGTGGTCCAACCTGTCCAACAGCTGCCGCCAATTTTCTTTGTTCGGCGATGCTGGTTCTTGGGTCTTTGGCGGAGCATCCACTTCCATCGGGAACTTGGCTGCCAACGGGGTCCGGCTCTCACTCCCGCCATTTGCCGAGTCTGAAAAACCTGGAGCGCTTAGGGTTGATAACTCGTTCTCTGCAGGAGCTCTTCGGCGGGTCTTCCTTCTTGAACTTGTAGACTGTATCCCACCACTGCCACCAGAAGCTTCTTTGCAGGTTCCATTTTTGAGAAGAGAGTGCAACTCACACGCTTCACAAGGGTATGACTATCTGCAGCCCCAGTGTTTTCCACTACATTCATCTCGAACAATCTTTCTTAATGGTTTCCACCATGTACAACAGTCGGCCCCGATGTCATCCACCTGCAGTCGTCCTTCAGTCTCCGAGCTAGCGCCCCAATTGCGGGCCTCGCTCTCCCTTTTCTACCCACGCAGCCTCGCCCTGGCAGCTTGCAGCAGTTTCCTTGGTACATTCTTCCAGCAGACTCAACCGTCTTCTACGTCCTTTCTCTTAGATGGCAAAGGATATAGTGGTGTCAGTGTTGATGGGTGGAACAGATGCAGGGTACTGTACGAGGGAAGGTTCATGTGAGTCGTACTTTTGCGTTGTAAATACGTTATCGTGAAATAAATCATCTAGACAATCTAACCTGCGAAGGAGCTTCTTTAAACACGTGAGTGTTAGACTGCGTATTTCCATTTTACCAGTGGGTCAATGAGGGAAGCGGATGGTGAGTAAGGTAGTGAGTGATGGGATGAGTAGGTCATTGGTGAGATTGTGAAATAGTGCGTGAGTGATGTTGGCACAGTGAATGATCAGGTGGTTGCCTGAGTTATCAGGTCAATATATGACTCATGAGGAAGGAGAGGACGTATTTATGTGAGTCATAAAGTAAGGGAAGTGGGTGAGTTCATAATGGAGTAAGTAGTAATTTATTTAGTTAAAACAGGCGAGAACTAAAGAGACTAGGATGATTCTCATTTGCAAGAGAGACCTGGATCACCAAAATAACAAAAGCTAAATAAAAACACAGAGTTACAGTAATGAAAAGCATATATAAACAATAGAAAAACAACTGCTGTGTCTCATGGGAAATCGATATAATGGAGTTAAGGGATGATAGAATATGTGAGTAATGTGCGACATGGATGTCCTCTGGCCCCTACACGACTTAACATTTTCTTTGACTACTTAGTAATGAGACGATTTCCATGGATGTACCAGTAGAATTTATATCTGGTATAGATATAATGGGAGGCTGATCGATGCACGAGTCCGGTCATGGTATGGCTCTCTATAGTTAAACCATATTATGAATGCGGATGATCTGGTGATTACTGCCCACTCTAAGGAGTTGGAGACACTCCATCTAAACACGGAACATGCTACTAAAATATGGGCCGTTACCATCAGCCCCACAAAATCAAATCACCTCCCTGGGTATTTTACATCATCAAAATGCTCCCCTCCCTCAATTCCCCATGTATTTTGAGGCAGTTGTGGAGAAAGTGGAGATATTTCCGTACTTGGGCAGTGTGCTCATGACCAACTCTGTTTTGGGAGCCGAGGTCTCACTTCGATTCATTCGAGCGGCATTATATTTTCATCAGCTGCGTAACATTGTATGGAAGCTACCTGATCTGTTACTCCATACAAACCTTCATGTCTTCTGGACCACAGTTATGCCTTCCCTTATTTCTCTCTATAGGATTATCTGCAATGGTTTGAAACATTTGGTCTAGCCTGCCTACGATCTATCCAGGGTTTAACCAGACTGGACTTTGTGAGGAGGCCAAAATTTCCTAAAATATCTAGACAAAGGCTCATCAGTGGGCTCTTCCGGCAAGTCAGGCTCCATTGGCTGGGTCATGAAGTCTATATGCACTGTCACCGCATCCCCAAGCAGCTTCAATTTGGGCGGATAGATCATGCTAAACAGGCGCGGCATGGGCTACAGAAGAGATGGACTGATGTGGTACAGAAGGATGTGGAGCTGATTGAACTTGCTGATGACTGGTAGCAGCAGTGTCGCGATAGGCCTATGTGGAGGAGGTTCATGAAAGACTCTACTGGGGAGGTGGAGGCAGTTGCCCTCCAGCAATAGCGTAGGGCAGCGGAGCGACACTCATAACAATGAGCAGAGCGCTATACGACTGAAACACTGAAATTTGGCACAGTGGGGAGCACGGCTTTTGCATTTGCCCGTCATCACCTTAAGTCAACCCATGGTACCTGTGTCTATTCATGACTTCCTGCCAGCCATCCTTCGACACTTCAAGTGACCTCAAAATGCACCAAGCACCGCACAAAAGCGCTGTGGTGATGTCACTGCCACTTAGGGGCAAACGGCGAATATTGTCTTCTTGTTGTGCGTGTGTGCACGGACGCATATACCTCTGTGAGTGTGTGTGTGGGGAGAGATAGTGCAATGGTGAACACTGTCTACCATCCCACCGATCCCAGTTCGATTCCCACTCACGACCAACACCTTTAACGATTATATTAATGGTTGCTGGGCTTTCCGTCGATTGACTCAGCCTCAAATAAGTGCCTGGTGTGGTGTGTAAATATCACCACTGGCGAGACAAAGGCAGCCGGGCGTGGTGCTGTCCACGCACCCCCTCGTGCGACATTCCAGCCTTCATAGGCGCTGCTGGCTAACAGCACTTGCCCCAACATTCTGGTTAGGCTATTCGGGGGATGACTGTCGCTGTTGTGTGTGTGTGTGCTTGCGGGCTTTCACCCCCAACCCTCCCGTGTGCAGTTATGGGGACTCATTATGCCCCCTCCCGACAAAAGGTCCCACATCCAGACTCAAGGTAAGTGACATTAAAAACATATTTTTTGTCCTATTTACGTAACTTTATTTTTTGTTTACCATACAGTATTTATTACAGTATTATTTGCAAATGTATAATATTCCGTGTTATGACTTTAACAATGCTTCAAAATTTTTGTTAAACCGTAATACATTTTACAACACTTCCAGTATGTGAATTTAAATACAGTACACTATTTTATTCAGACTTATGAACTGTTCGACTCACTAACGATTCTCTGTAATGGAATCCAAAAGTTGTACTATTCATTAACAACATCTCCCATTGGTATGGTTGACTACATGTGATGCAAAATAAGTTAAACATAGATAAATATATATTGTACAACACTTTCCCCAACAGTGTTGAGGCTACATGGGGGACCTTTGTGTTTGTGCTTGTGATTGTATTGTGGAGGCCTTCTTAGGTGCTGCTCCTTGCTAATAGCACTTGCCCCAATAGTCTCTTGAATCTATACGGGGAACGTTTGTCTTTGTGAATAATGTTTTAATTGGGGCGGTGTCATTTTCTAAATTGCCCCAATGTTTTTAAATGGTCGACTTGCGTTTCAGCCATTTTCGGACCCAATTAATACATCTCTTCATTTCTTGGGCTTGGTGGCGGTGGTGGCAGCTGTGGCAGCGGCGGTGGCAGTGGCGTTGGTGGTGGTGGCATCTTTGTAAATTTGAGAAATGGCGCATTTCAGCTCTTTCAGCTGTCTATTGAGATGCCGGCACTCTTTGCGCATCTGCACTTCGCCGTGCCACTTTTCCTCGTGACGCGCCAGCTTCCCGCGCAGCCTAAACTGCTCCTGCCCTCTCTGTGGATTCAGGAAGTTCAACTCCCTCAGGTGGATGCGCAGCGACCTACGGAGACCTTCCTTTTTACAGCGCAGCGACATTTGCCGCTGTGCTGCATTGCAGTCTCGGAGAAAATCCGCACGGAGAGACGCACGCTCGCAGCCAGGCACTCTCGTGGACTCCAGCTCTAACTGGCGCTCTTTAAGCTGTTGAACCAGGCCCCTGTTCTCTCTCTGGAGAGTCTCTCGGTTATCCATCAACTCCTCCTGCTGATACTGTAGCTTCAGATGGGGCGTCTTGTTCCCCTGACAGAGCTCCACATTCTGCTGGCCCATCCTCTCCGTTTGCAGCGTCGTGGTCTCGCGGTGAAAGTCTGAGATGGAAAGCGTACAACGAAGATAAATGAAGATCTCCATCCCAAGCAGGGCCAAGAGCAGAACGCCAACGATCAGCAGCGCCATGCTCAGCTCGTGTTGACGGCACGCGGGACAGAAGCAAGTGTGAGGCACGTCACGAAGGGGCGTTATTTATATAACTTCTTTACCGGATGTGACGTACACGTTGACGTAACAGCCATCCCTGCCCACTAATTGTCAATCATTGCCAACCACGTGACTCCACGGCCCCGCCCCTAACAGCGCAGCTCCTCCCCCATACTCCTCTTCCGCCTTCCCCACGTGACGCGAAGCGAGCCAATCACGCGAGAGGCGACGCGATGGGCGGTGGGGGGGCGAGATCACTCCACGTCGCGAGCGGGAGGAGGAGGGACTAGGGGGAGGGGCCAGCAGGGACGAGGGGGAGGGGCCAGTTGGAACGAGGGGGAGGGGCCAGGAGGGACGAGGGGGAGGGGCCAGGAGGAACGAGGGGGAGGGGCCAGGAGGGACGAGGGGGAGGGGCCAGGAGGGACGAGGGGGAGGGGCCAGGAGGGACGAGGGGGAGGGGCCAGGAGCGGGAGGGGGGTGCCGTGGCGCCGCTCTTGGGCCGCGAGGCTTCCCCCTGGGCCCGCGGCGCCACGCGGAGACCGCGACAGCAGCAGCAGCAGGAGGTGGTGGTGGTGGTGTTTGTGGTTGTAGGCACGGGAGAGGTGGTGGTGGTGTTTGTGGTTGTAGGCACGGGAGAGGTGGTGGTGGTGTTTGTGGTTGTAGGCACGGGAGAGGTGGTGGTGGTGTTTGTGGTTGTAGGCACGGGAGAGGTGGTGGTGGTGTTTGTGGTTGTAGGCACGGGAGAGGTGGTGGTGGTGTTTGTGGTTGTAGGCACGGGAGAGGTGGTGGTGGTGTTTGTGGTTGTAGGCACGGGAGAGGTGGTGGTGGTGTTTGTGGTTGTAGGCACGGGAGAGGTGGTGGTGGTGTTTGTGGTTGTGTTGTAGGCACGGGAGAGGTGGTCACGGACAGGCGGTGAGTGCCGGGTGATGGAGGGGGGGGTGAGGGAGTGGATTGCAGGGTGAGTGAGTTAATGAGGAGAATTAATAGGTGAGGAGGGTGAGTGAGTTGAAGGGTGAGGTGAGTGAGTGGGTGAGTGGTGAGTTCACGACAGGGAGATTGGGGCTGAGTGAGTGAACGCAGCGCACGGTAAAGATCCCCTGAGAGCATTCGCAAGAGTTGGACATTGAGTGCCGCTGTCAGGGTCCACACGTAAATTACTCACTTGGCATGATATACAAATTAACCATTGTAAACGATAACTTTAAAAAAGTCCGCTATTTGTCAGAGCTAATGCGATGTGCCTTCAGCATATTTGTAGCACGTTATAACCAACGTCAACATCGTCATTTAGAGTAACCATTAGTCCATACGTGTCACTTGCTAATAGTCCCCGGGTCAATCACAACTTTGCCGTGCGTGCAGGCTTTGTCTCTGGCTGCTCGCTAGGGCTGCGATGCCTTTCCATGCCACAAGATGACGTTCATTGCTCCTTCCACACCGCGACAATATTTACTGCAGTGTTCTATAACGCGGTAGTTGCGTTGTGTAAACTCCCTCGTTACAATGACTAATACAGGGTAAAGCACAGTCCGTGATAACAGCGTGAGATGCGTGTGTCGGCTGAACAAAGACTGAGGCGCGTGGGGAGCATCAGGAAGCATCCAGCAGCATCCCAATGCCTCGTGTGACGCTGTGCCCAGGCAGCCGTACAACCGCACATTCCTACTCGCGCGACGTGGTTCTGTTGACTCAATCGCGTTATATCCACTTAGCATCCGCGTTATAAAACGTGTTCCCTAATACATCCATCGTGCCATATCCAAATGGCGTTATGAAAACACGCGTTGAGGCAGAACGAACTCTATAAACTATTTTTATTTTACCAGGTGAGACCCACTGAGCTATGTGGCTGTTTTCCAGAAGCGACCTTTCCACAAATGATAGATCAGCTAAATGGCTAATCACATAGAAATGTGTAGCACCAGCCACAAATACTCTAGACATGGGATCCCCTTTGACAGGGTCAGTGTCTACTTAGATTCACTCACTCCGCCTATTGTCATGCGGCGTGTGCAGCTGCGTCGTGACACTTGGTAGAGTGCTGTCTTTGAGGCAGAGAGCTTTACAACCGTGTGCAGTGGTTAATTTGCTTAACAGCTTTACACCGAACTCCTTGCTTGTGGTAAAACATGTTTGCGACTTTGCTGATTGAGAACTATGCAGATTTAGATTTATAGTTACATGTACTTGGTGTGAGATGAACTTCCAAACAATTTCCTTTGCTCAACATCTTGGAATTAATGTCTTTTTAAATGGTCAGCTTAAGTGATTCCGTGATGTTTATGTAACTTGACCATTAAGATAATCTATGGAGCACAATTATTTCAATATTATTTGTCATAATTAAACTTTAAAATGAACCCATATGTGATATTATATTGCCTGATTATTTTATTTTTTTATGTAGTCTACATGCTCTTCTGGGGATATTACCCCACATTTACCATTCATTGATGTTCCCTTTGACATTGGTAATTGGCATTGTCACACCATAGTAATTCATGGGCAATTATGTAATTCTCTCTGTGTCTATCTCTCTCTGCATCTGTCTGTGTGGGTGTCTCTCTCTGCCGGTGTGTTTTTCTCTATATGTGTCTCTCGTGTGTCTCTTTGTGTGTGCCTCTCTCTGTGTGTGGATCTCTCGGTGTCTGTGTCTCTCTTTCCTTTTCCACGATGTGGCGTTGTATTTACATGCAAATTCTACCTCTAGCCCCGCCCACTTACCCTTGGGCTGAGCTTATCTCAAGCCAATATAACTTCGTGTTTCAGCAGCTTTCTCGCTATATTTTTTCACCTGATGATGGTTGCTTGTGTTGCGATCGAAACGTCGTGATCTATTATTTTTTCTACCTACGTGACTTTACCGAAATAACCAAAGAGTATTGTGATTGTAATTTTGATTGTGATCGTTGTGGTGGAGGTGGTGATATTGATGGTGGTGTTAACGATAGCGGTGATTTTGGTGGTTGTAATGGTGGTATTAATGGTGGTAATGGTGGTTGACTATTACCCCTCCCGTGTCCTTACTTCCACCACCAGGTTTAAGAATCTGCCGGTGTCTGTGCTGGAGGTGGACGTCGGATATCTGTGCGGTCTGGAGCGGTGGACAATAGACTTCTGCAGCTCAACCAGGTGGACGCACTGGGCAGGGAGCAAGATGGGGGTGGCCTTAGAGACCCACTTACTCCCACAGAGAGCCATATACTCACTCACAGAGCACACTCACACAGAGAGCCAAAGTCTCACTGACACAGAGCCATAGGCTCACTCACATGGAGACACATAGACTCACTCACACAGAGAACCATTGATTAACTCATTGTTTTTATCGGTAAAGTCACGTATGTAGAAATACCATAAAATTATATTAAAATAAATCAAGCACGACGTTTCGACCGCAACACAAGCGCTCTTCATCAGGTGTAAAAACAGATGGCACATAGGGTGACATCAGCGCAACACATAGAGAGCGTTAAACTGCACGGAGGTAAATACAACAAGAAGATGAGAGACGAGAATTCAAAAAACCTAAGAAAAATTTACGTGATGCAAAACCAGTCGGCCAACGACACAGACACTTGCCTGGCAGACCACGAATTTCAGAAGAGTGCTAAATTTCGTGTTCATCCTCTGGGTTGAACATACCAGCATATACAGAGTGAACAAATACGAGGTATAAGATAGCAGAAATACATATACAGGGACACAAGAGGTAAGAAGAGGAAAGACGGACAGAGAAGCAAGAAAAAAGGGGCCGGAGGGATGAACAGAGGCTTAAAATAAGTAGTAGAGGTGGGGGGAGGGGGAGGGGCCGAAGAAAGCAAGGGGCACGGCAGCAGCAGAAGAGGGAGGGGCAGGAAAATGTAAGGGGGCGCAATTAGTTTAGTACAGAATTGTAAAGGTAACTTCCCCGTAGAAGTGTGTTAATAAAGAATTAAAGCTTTCGTGACTGCATAGATTACTCATTGTTTTTTTCAGTAAAGTCACGTATGTAGAAATACCATAAAATTATATTAAAATAAATCAATCACGACGTTTCTACCGCAACACAAGCGATCTTGTGTTGCAGGATCTTTACGTAGGTAAAACAAATTTAAAGAAAATAAACAATTAAAACACGACGTTTCAGAGGCAACGCAAGCTTCTGTCTTCAGTTGGGACCAGTCACAGCCAAAATCGCTGCACCAAGTGGCGAGGCTCTGGGAACCTAGCGCTTAAATACAGGTTAAGGTAGGGGGGGGGGGTGTGGGAGGGGCCATGTAGGGGGACTTTAGTGGGGTGCGGAGCTCAGTTAATCCGTCTTTTGTTGTGTAGAGGGTGCGGGGGATGGGTCACTGTGTGTGTGCAATATAAACAGAAAGAGGCTCTGCCAGGCTGTGCTGTAAGGGGAGGCAGTAGATAAAATGAAAATCGAAAAGTTTGGAAATAATATGTTTAGTATACCACTGCTTGAAATTGCTTTTAGTAATTAGTTAGCGTTTGGTATGATTTAAAACGTTTCTTCAGTGGTTGCTTAATTTGAAACCATCCTCTCAGTTGAAGTAATGCCTGTGTTTGTATTTGTTGTGTAGAGGGTGCGGGGGATGGGTGACTGTGTGTGTGCAGGACTGAGTTAATCCGTCTTTTGTTGTGTGGAGGGTGTGGGAGATGGGTCACTGTGTGTGTGCACTATAAACGGAAAGAGTATCGGCCAGGATGTGCTGTAAGGGAGCAGTAGAAAAAAGGAAAATAGAAAAGTTCGGAAAGAATATGTTTGGTATACCACTGCTTGAAATTGCTGTTAGAAATTAGTTAGCGTTTGGTATGATTCAAAACGTCTTTCCAGTGGTTGTTTAATTTTAAACCATCCTCTCGGTTGAAATTATTCCTGTGTTTGTATATCTGAATGGCTTCGTGGACAAATCTTTGGTGATAACCTGTAGGTTTACAAAGAACCTTGGTATCGGAAAAGACAATCTCATGATCACCCATAGCGTTGTAACAGTGATCAGCCACAGCAGATGAATTCGTTCTGCCGTGTTTCAAATCTGATTTATGCTCACGAATTCGGTCAGAGATATGTCGTTTCGTCAACAATAACAATCACCACAGGTACAGCTAAATTTGTAAACTCCGGGGTACTGTAAGTCAGGGTTGACATCCTCTCATCAAAACGTTACACCATAGGGCTCATTGCATTTCAGACCAACACCACTTGACCAGTGAATTAAAATTGGTACGGCTGGCCCTTAGGAGGAACGGATACTCTGACCGTACCATCCGCCAAGCTGTTTCTCCTACCATACAGAAACAACCACCTGATACTCCGATCAAAACCATCACACTACCTTACATAGCAGGCGTTACTAAAAAGATTTCCAAAATTCTAAACAAACATAAGATCCAAGTCCGGTTCAATACAGTACACAAAATACGTGATCTGATCCCATCCGTAAAGGATGTCATCCCTGACTTACAGTACCCCGGAGTTTACAAATTGAGCTGTACCTGTGGTGATTGTTATATCGGGGAGACGAAACGACATATCTCTGACCGAATTCGCGAGCATAAATCAGATTTGAAACACGGCAGAACGAATTCATCTGCTGTGGCTGATCACTGTTACAACGCTATGGGTGATCATGAGATTGTCTTTTCCGATACCAAGGTTCTTTGTAAACCTACAGGTTATCACCAAAGATGTGTCCACAAAGCCATTCAGATATACAAACACAGGCATAATTTCAACCAAGAGGACGGTTTAAAATTAAGCAACCACTGGAAAGACGTTTTGAATCATACCAAACACTAACTAATTTCTAACAGCAATTTCAAGCAGTGGTATACCAAACATTCTTTCCAAACTTTTCTATTTTCCTTTTTTCTACTGCTCCCTTACAGCACATCCTGGCCGATACTCTTTCCGTTTATATTGCACACACACAGTGACCCATCTCCCGCACCCTCCACACAACAAAAGACGGATTAACTCATCCCCGCACACACACAGCGACCCATCCCCCGCACCCTCTACACAACAAATACAAACACAGGCATTACTTCAACCGAGAGGATGGTTTCAAATTAAGCAACCACTGAAGAGACGTTTTAAATCATACCAAACGCTAACTTATTTCTAACAGCAATTTTAAGCAGTGGTATACTAACCATTATTTCCGAACTTTTCGATTTTCCTTTTTTCTACTGCCTCCCCTTACAGTACAGCCTGGCAGAGCCTCTTTCCGTTTATATTGCACACACACAGTGACCCATCCCCCGCACCCTCTACACAACAAAAGACGAATTAACTCAGCTCCGCACCCCACTAAAGTCCCCCTACATGGCCCCTCCCACACCCCCCCCCCCCCCACCTTAACCTGTATTTAAGCGCTAGGTTCCCAGAGCCTCGCCACTTGGTGCAGCGATTTTGGCTGTGACTGATCCCACCTGAAGACGGAAGCTTGCGTTGCCTCCGAAACGTCGTGTTTTAATTGTTTATTTTATTTTAATTTGTTTTACCTACGTGACTTTACCGAATAAAACCAAAGAGTATATACTCACTTCTCTACGTGACCGGTAGTGCAAGATCTGACCATGTCTGTCCAGTGCTTGCCAGGTCACATTGGCTTCCTGTTGCCGAACGAATCGATGATAAGGTCGCACTCATTACACACAAAGTGCTTGCCACAAATGAACCACAATACCTTGCTGATCTCGTTAAGGAGCATACACTATCACGCGAACCCCAGTCACCATCGCAGCAGCTATTGACTCACCATAGAACAAAGACGGTCACTGCATTGCGCGCTTTTAAATGCTCTTCTGCGGCCGTCGGGAATGCTCTTCCGTCCGATATCATGAAGCCACTGGGAGCTATGCACTTTTAAATCTAGATTGAACTCTAATTTCTTTAGAACTGCTTTTTGTGTTTAGTTTGTTCTTACCCTGCACCTCCAATTACCGTACGGTGCGAAAAAAGTTCAATATATACATAAATACTCACGAACTGAAATTTCACCAATATCCTGTACAAAGCTATCTTTGTCTTTTGTGAATGTTTGGGTGTGTGTAAATGAGTGGTGCGAGTTTGCACTTACACCACTGAGTGATGCTTTTCGCGTTGTTAATCATAACCCCTGCCGGACAGATTTCCACGAGAGCCACTAATAGAAGCTCTCGCAGTAACGCTCACTAAACGCCAGGGTTATATTGTGAAAAACGGAGATTTTAATAGCAATGCATGCGATGTAACTTGGGGTAAAAATGTAACCGTAACACGGGGAGTGGTTTTTCACTGGATTCGTGAGTTGTGCATGCAGGGGGGGGGGGGGGGGGGGTTATAACCATGCACATCAAGGACGCATACACACCTACACGTTTAACAGTACACACACTCACAAAGTGGGGAGTGAGACTACTTCATAGCCAAAACCAAATCAGCATTTTGTCTTCAATCGCTGTTGCCGAGTGTAGGCACAAAGGCCAATAATGCAAAGCGGCCAGCAACAAACAGCACGATTTAATAAAGAATTAAAGTTTTCGTGACTGCATAAATTACTCATTGGTTTTTAATTTATTTTAATATTTGATTTATTTTAATATAATTTTATGGTATTTCTACATACGTGACTTTACCGAAAAAAAACAATGAGTAAATTATGCAGTCACGAAAACTTTAATTCTTTATTAACACACTTCTACGGGGAAGTTACCTTTACAATTCTGTCCTAAGCGTAGTGCACCCCTTGCTTGCTCTTACCCCTCCCCCCCCCCGCCTCTGCTGCGTTGCAGCCCTTGCTTTCTCCTGCTCCTCCCCCCGAATCTGCTGCCGTGCCCTCTCTCTCCGGCCCCTCCCCCCACCTTTACTTCTTATTTAAGGCTTCTGTTCATCCTTCTGGCCCTTTTTCTTTTTCCTTGCTTCTCTGTTGTCTTTCCTCTCCTTGCCTCTTGGTGTCTCTGTATATGTATTTCTGCTGACATGTACATCATATTTGTTCACTCTGTCTATGCTGGTATGTTCAATCCAGAGGTTGAACACGAAATCTAACACTCTTCTGAAATTCGTGGTCCACCAGGTAAGTGTCTGTGTTGTTGACCTGACTGGTTGTGCATCACATATTTTTTCTTAGGTTTGTTGAATTCTCGTCTCTCATCTTCTTGTTGTATTTGCCTCCGTGATTTGTTTTTTTACACCTGATGAAGATCGCTTGTGTTGCGGTCGAAACGTCGTGATTGATTTATTTTAATATAATTTTATGGTATTTCTACATACGTGACTTTACCGAAAAAAAACAACGAGCACGATTTAAGTTGTAATATATTAGAGTCAACACGTTTCAAGACATTGACCCATGATCTATCAAAGAACTTAGGACAAATACGATGGGAGGGAATTTCCCAGTGGAGCAGTGAGAGGGAAGCCATGGACTATGGTGTGGCCATGTTGGTATAATGCAGACGACATCAGCTCGGATACGAGTTCTATTTTGTGGAGGGACAAAGGGGCTCAGATATTACATTTAATATTAAGAGTGATTTTAAATATGCTAATCATTATATGTTCCCTAACTTTCCTGGTATTTCAGTAGTAGAGTAAGCGGCTTTGCAATCAGAATGTTTTGAGTTCAAACCCTGGTGGGGGTTGACTCATCCCATCATCCTTCATTGATCGATAAAGTGAGCACTACTTTGTGGGGAATTCCAGTCAGGTGAAGTCAAGTCAGTCTCATTTGCAAGTCGCCCGGGGTCAGAAAAATTATAAATTCTCGTTGAGCTATGATTGCTACACCGCCGCTGTCTACCCAGCCATACAAAGCACCACACGATATCAATACCGCTTTTCTTAAAAATAGGAACGTGGAATTATCACCACCACCACCACCACCGGAACAGGGCTGTAAGCAGGAGATAAGCACAACCTCAATGCTTATTTTAGGAACAAATAACTTTCACTCTAGACATATATAATGGGTGTCATAGACTGCATCAGTGCATCACACACGTTGCGTGAAAGATGAGCTGATCACATTGGTGGTTATCGTGAGGTGAGCTCACCGACTAATGACAAGTCACCTGGCGAGGAACTCACAATCAAAATAACCAACATTGTCTCAGTACAATGTAACACAGGCATGTCTCACTTAACGAATGAGATACGTTCGGTTGAAAATGCTTGATAATCAAAAACTCGTCGAACACTCATCATAACCCCATTAACTCCCATGTTAAAAGCTGAGCTACGTTTCAGCCCCAAAATGTTCCACTCTTGAGCAACTTTATTACCGTGAGCAAAACAATTTTTAATTTAAAATAAATTAATAAAACATCAAATGAAACCCCACACATGAAGAACCAGCCACCTTCCCCCCTACCCACCCTTCACCACCCACCCACCCTTCATCACCCACCCACCCTCCCTCGCCCACCCACCCATCCCCCCACCCCTCCCCTGACCACCCCTCCCCTAACAATCCCTAACCCCTCCACCACCCACCCCTCCCCTCTCCTTCCTGCTGTTACTGGAGGAAACTTTTTGGTGCCACTGCTGGCGTCAGTGGCTTGAGGCTGAGAGAGCAGCAGAGGAGGCGACACGGGGAGCCGGGCCGCGTGTGCGCGTGTCAGGGGCAAGACAAGCGGGCGACTCAACACTTCACAGCGTGGGTGAGTGTGGGGAGTTTGGTGCGTGGGGGACGGGTGGTGTGACACTTGACAGAGTGAATGCGGAGAGTTTGTGGTGCGCGGGGGATGGTGGGTGGTGTGACACTTCACAGCGTGGGTGAGTATGGGGAGTTTTAGATTTAAAGCTTTCGTGACTGCAAGGATCCATACTCTCTGGTTCTATTGGGTAAAGTCACGTAGGCAAAAAATAAAATAACAAAAATCACGACGTTTCGGCCACAACACAAGCGGTTTTCATCAGGTGAACGGACGAGACTGTCTGGAGGACAGTGCTGGAGTGAAAAAAGCCACGCTCAGATCATGACCTTTAAGCTGTGTGAGAAGAAACAAAGCGCCTTGACAAAGGAATTAGCATATTATTTAGCATTGAAATGGCTGAGTGATTAGCTTGTGACTGGTCACAGAAATGGCTATGTTAAAGTTAAAGCATACACATCCGCAAAGGCACCCCTTGACAAGGGAATTAGCATAGAATTTAGCATTGAAATAGCTAAGTTAAAGTATACACATCCGCAGAGGCACCCCTTGACAAAGGAATTAGGATAGAATTTAGCATTGAAATAGCTGAGTGATTAGCTTGTAACTGGTCACAGAAATAGCTATGTTAAAGTCAAAGCATATACATTCACCGAGGCACCTAGTACAAATCAAACAGGATAATTTAGCGAAACACAACCACGCTCAGACCGCAGACCTTTAAGCTGTGTGCGAGCAAACAAGGTGTCCTGACAAAGAAATTAGCATAACAATTAGCATTTGATTGGCCGATTTTAGAAAAGAGGTGGTGTACGTGCCGGTGGACTTGCCGTTTGGCGCGGGGGGGGGGGGGGGGGGGGAGTTTACCTATTGATGGTGTGAAAGGTAATTTATTAGAGCTGCGAAAGTTTGGGGTACCACTACTTGAAAAATATACTGTACCATTGAAATTAGTTTAATGTTTAGTTCGATTTAGAACATCTTTCCAATGGTTGCTTAATTTGAAACCATCTTCTCGGTTGAAATTGTGTCTGTGTTTGTAGATCTGAATTGCCTCGTGAACAAATCTCTGATAAAAACCCGTGGGTTTGCAAAGAACCTTGGTATCAGAGAAAATTATATCGTGATCACCCACAGCGTTGTAACAGTGATCAGCCACGGCAGAAGAATTCGTATTGCCCTGTTTCAAATCTGATTTGTGCTCGCGAATTCGGTCAGAGACATGTCGCTTTGTCTCCCCGATATAGCAATCACCGCAGGTACAACTCAATTTGTAAACCCCGGGGTACTATAAGTCAGGAATGGCATCCTTAACGGATGGGATCAGATCACGAATTTTGTGTACTGTATTGAACCGGACCTGGATCTTGTGTTTGTTTAGAATTTTGGAAATCTTTTTAGTAACGCCTGCTATATATGGTAGTGTGATGGTTTTGACCGGAGTATCAAGTGGTTGTTTCTGTATGGAGGGAGAAACAGCTTGGCGGATGGTATGATCAGAGTAACCATTCCTTTTGAGGGCCAGGTGTACATGTTTTAAGTCACTGGTTAGGTGGTGTTGGTCCGAAATGCAATGAGCCCTATGGTATAAAGTTTTGATGAGAGAATTATTTTGGGCTGGGTGGTGGTGGGAATCAGGTTTCAAGTAGGAATCTGTGTGGGTGGGTTTCCTGTAGACAGAATGCCCCAATGAGCCATCAGGTCTCCTCTCAAACAGAACATCTAAGAATGGTAGCTTGCCATCTTTCTCCACTTCCATGGTGAATTTGATGGCGGGATGTCTAGAATTTATGTGGTGTCGGAAAAGGTTCAGAGCTGGGAGGCCATGTGGCCAAATGATGAAAGTGTCATCCACATATCTCTTCCACAGGGAAGGTCTGAGGGTGGAAGTCTGGATGGCGTCTGATTCAAATTTCTCCATGAAAATATTGGCTATCACTGGTGATAAGGGGGATCCCATGGGGGTACCCTCATTTTGATTGTAGAAGGAGCCATTCCAAGTAAAGTAGGTGTTGTTGAGGCAGTGCCTAACCAGTGCAGGTGTGTCGGGGTCTAGTCCATGTTGGACCAAATTTTCAATTATTTCAATGGTATCAGGTACTGGGACCTTGGTGAACAAAGAGACATCGAAGCTGACAAGGATATCGTCAGGGGACAGTACGTCTTTGACCATAGAGACCAATTGGGCTGAGTTAAGCACTGCTGAGGCGGTCTTTCCAGTGAAAGGCAGCAAGGTATCTGACAGAAAACGGGCTAGTCTATAGGTAGGGGAGTTGATCGTGGATACGATGGGTCGTAGTGGGGTGCCTTCTTTATGAATCTTGGGAAGACCATAGAATCTAGGGGGTCTTGCAGCAGAAGGTTTTAGGGAGGGACGTTTAGTTGGGTCGATTAGGGAGGTCGAACTTGTGATGATCTTGTTGGTTTTTATCGCTAGGCTATTAGTAGGGTCATTTTTTTTATTTTTAAGTAACTTCCATCGTTGAGCAGATTCTGGATTTTGTTGTTGTATGAATCTTTATCCATAATAACAGTAGCGTTGCCTTTATCGGCTGAGAGGATGACTATATCACTTCTGTTTTTTTTAAATTCGCGAGTTCAGAGCGTTCATTTTTGCTGATGTTACTAATGGGTTTCTTAGCATTCTTAAGAATAGTGTCTATTTCAGCTCTCGCAACGTCTGCTTGGATGTGTCCTACGCCTTTGAGGGCTACATCGACCTGAGAGATGATATCATCTACTGGTATGTGTTTTGGGGTGACAGCAAAATTTAGTCCCCTAGTCAGTACTGTTTTCAGATTGTCCAAAATCGGGGTGCTACTCTGATTAATGACGATTTTGTTAACATCTAGTTTTGTTATATGTGGAACTGGGTTCGTCTTTGATAGGTGGTTGAATTTAGAAATCAGGTTATCGTTACATTTGACTGACAGTGACTCAGCAGAAGAAGCAGTCATGTTGTCTACGTGATTCCAATCAGAAGGTGATATTTTTTGTGTTAACATTAAATGAGCTTGTAGGAGAGTCCTGTCTAAAGTATCGAGTTCAAATCGGAGTAGCCTTATCCTCTCTGAGATTAAAGATAGGCTGGCCTTAAGCAGAATCTGTTTAGAATTCGGAGAAGATACAGCAGCAGAAGTGAGTGTGAAAGCGATGGGCATTACCTTGTGATCGCGGCCATTTCTGTGACCAGTCACGAGCTAATCACTCAGCCATTTCAATGCTAAATTATATTATAATTCCTTTGTCAAGGCGCTTTGTTTCTTCTCACACAGCTTAAAGGTCGTGATCTGAGCGTGGCTTTTTTCACTCCAGCGCTGTCCTCCAGACAGTCTCGTCCCTTCACCTGATGAAGTCCGCTTGTGTTGTGGCCGAAACGTTGTGATTTTTGTTATTTTATTTTTTACCTACGTGACTTTACCCAATAGAACCAGAGAGTATGGGGACGGTGGGTGGTGTGACACTGCACAGCGTGGGTGAGTGTGGGGAGTTTGTGGTGCGTGGGGGACGGTAGGTGGTGTGACACTTCACAGCGTGGGTGAGTGTGGGGAGTTTGTGGTGCGTGGGGGACGGTGGGTAGGTGTCAGACTATAAACCGCCTGTGTATGCTACACGGGGGATGTTGTATTTGTGTATGAATGTCTCTGTGTGTGTAAGATGGCGTAGCACGTGTGTGTGTAGGGAGGTCAGTGTGCGTGTAACTCAAATGAGTACCTGGGGCGGTGTGTAAACAGCGCACACAAAGGCGATCTGGCCTTGTTTTGACCACCTACCCCCTCGTGTACTATGCCGACCTTCATAGGGGATCAATGGGAGCACTTGCCCACCAGTCTGTGGAGCTACATGGGGGTTGATTGTGTTGGAGCTCGTGCTGTAAGTACGGAGGAGGCACGTGAAGGACGCTGCTCCTAGGCAATTGGAGGCAATCCTCCAGCAACAACGAAGGGTAGAGACGCGACGCTAGTTGGCACAGTAGGGGGCAAAGGTGGTGCATCGGCCACTCATCTCAGTCATCTCGGTCAGTCGACCCGTGGCACCTGGGTCTGCCCCGTGACCTCCTGGCGGCGGGCGTTCGACACTTAATGTGGCCTTAACTTGCACCTAGCCTGGCACAAGCGTCGTGGTGACGTCACCGCCACTTCGTGGCGAATGGCGGCTGTTCTTGCTGTAGGCATAGAAGACGCGCGACCGTGGATCCTCTGTAGGGAGCGCACGTCTGCTGTAGGCAACGTGGAGCTGCACGAGCGGACACCGACGCAGCGATTTCCATAGCGAGCCACGAGTTAGGTGCTGGAAAGGAATCACACTCAAGCTGGGTGGATGAAGCGAGCACCACCATGGTGTGCTTGGCGTGTATGTTCAGTCGTGATTCATAATTTTATTCCATTGTGTCTCACACCTGCCCACCGTGTCTTGGCAGTTTTACATTTCTCTGATTTCCTTAAATGCACTTGCATTTTTTTAGTTCAGAAAATTATATTGAGATTGAATGTCTCATGCGCAAAGATGCCCATGGCATCTGGGGTGGAACAATTGCACAGTGCTTTGCGCACTGCACTACGAACCCTTGGACTAAAATCAGAGGCGAGTGACAAATGAATCAGTCCTGCCCCCCTCGCTTCACCAACCTGCACTCGCCAGCGTGGTGAAGTATGATAAAGCAAAAAAACACGACCGACAGGGCTTAGGGTGCCCAATATCCAGCAGGGCATTACTTTGTTATCATATCCAGGTCTGGTTGTGGATTTGACTTTTTCTTTAGTTGTCTCTGATGCATATATGACTTGGCGAGATGTCTCCTGCTTCATTCTGATGCATTATGCTTTTTTTCAATGCGTCTCTGCACTGGGCGTGTTGGTTGAATTTGGTGTTTGTCACGTGAGGTTCAAAAAAACAAAAAGATTTTATTTACCAGGTAAAATCCACTGAGCTATTCGCATTTTCAGAAGCGACCTGTCCACAAATTATAACTGAACGAAGTGGCTTGTCATGTGGAAATTTGTAAC